AAGCTTGTCATACCCGCTTATAGGCTCACTAAACTGCAAATGATAAAACATAACGTTTCACATGTCACCAATCCCATTCTACCAAGAGGCAGATTCTGCTATTCAAAGTTGCTTCCAATTCCTTATACTAAAAAGAACGACTTTTGTACATGACTTGTCTCAACTCTAGAAAAATATTGTGCTTGTTAGTAGGGTCATCTAAATTATGCTCATTTTTCTTTATCTGATACATACATGCATACATACATACATTCATACCATTTGAATTCGATTAAAATTTGTTCAGTCAAGTCAGTATTTCTTTTTTGCTTTTATTAACATTTAATAGAATCATTACAGTTTCTATTTTGTATACTTCTAATTAGACTTCTGCTAGATTATGTGTATGGTACGGACTTCCTCAATATAACGAAGTTTTTCTGTTCCTCGCCTTACTCCGTAAAAGCACCTGTACAGTGAAACCTCGTTAAACCGTACCCGCTTAAACAGTAGTTTCATTTTAAAAGTAGTAAAGTCAAATCTTCGACTCGGCGGCCATTGAACATAATGCATTTTGTATCCGCATAAACCGTACCAGCTTATGGCGTATGTATCAGCTAATAAGTAGTTTTTCCAATTTTCGTTGCGTACTCGCCACGACATGTCGTCCCCCACTGGGCGTCCCGACTGAACAGCAAGCCCCAGAGATGGAAACACGCCTCGCTTGTTTGTGTTGATGATGGTCGCGGCTGTGTTGATGAGCGCCATCTCTTGGATTTTTCCGCAACAAGTACATGGCCTCCGAAATTGGAAGTTCAGCACTCAGCTGGCACTCGGCTGGCTAGGCTTCTGGTGTTGTCCACGCAATGGCACATTGCACAAACACACAAACACGGTGTGCGCTTGTTTTGCTTTGTTTGTTCCTTCGACACCGCGCATAGGTGCTTGCTGGCTGCCCCGTGCTGTACGCGAGAGCTGCGGGAGCGTCGCTTTTCACGTGTTGTGTATGTGTGCTTGTGCTCCTTTGCAGTTGCGTCATGCCGAAGCTGGGACAAAAGTATCGAGTGCTCAAAATAGAGGAGAAATTGGACATAATTCATGCAATTGAACGTGGCACGAAAAAATCGGCGCTGGCACATGAAAAGAACCTGCCATTAACTACGGTGTGTGAAACTGGGAATTCCAGAGAGAAGTTGCTCGGCAGGGCTGCTGCAACTGCGAAAAAGTGCCGACTATGCGGTTCATCGTTTTCGAATGTAGAGGAGGTGCTGGTCAAGTGGCTAAAAGCTGCACGGTCGAAAAATCTGCCTATCAGCGGATCGTGTGGAGAAGGCCCTGATTTTTGCCTCGCAGCTCAACCATGACAACTCCGGGTGCAGCAATGCCTGGCTGGCCGGATTCAAGGCGAGGCACGGTATTACCACGAGGACTGTTTCGGGAGAAGGTGCTGCTGCTGACGTGGATGGTGTGGAGCAGTGGCAAAGTGGTCAGCTGAAAAACATCTTGACAGACTATGCACCTGTTGACATCTTTGATATGGATGAATCAGTGCTATTCTTCAAGCTGCTACAAGACAAAACGCTCGCGTTCAAAGGCGAGACTTTCACCCGCAGCAAACATGCAAAGGACGAAATATCAGTGGCGTTTTGCGTAAACATGACTGGAACTGACTGAACTCCACTCCTCGTGATTAGAAAGTCTACGAAGCCAAGATGCTTCAAAGGTGCCCGATTGCCATCAGGGGTCATTTATCGCAGCAATACCAAAGCATGGATGACAGCAAAACTTTTGGAGGAGTACATGCGCCTCATCAATCGTCGTTTTGCGGCTAAGAACAGAAGAGCTGTTATTATTTTAGACATCGCTTCGGAGCACATCGCCCAGGACAACCTGAGAGCTGTGAAGTTGGCGTTTCTGCCACCAAACACAACAACAATTGCCCAACCCTTGGACCAAGGCATTATTCGAACTGTAAAACAGCTCTACAAGAATAATCTGCTGCACAGATTTCTTCCCCCCATTGAATGTGGCAAATTATTCTCCATCGACCTGATTGGCGCGATTCACCTGCTCGAATACTCGTGGCAGCAGGTCGAAGCAACGACCGTTCAAAATTGCTTCAAGCGTGCTGGCTTCGGTGTGTGTGCGGGCAATGCAGATGACGCTAGTGACACCATCGACCAGACTTCGGACATCGTAGACCAAGCTTGGGAAACTCTGCTAGCTGAAGCGCTGGAGCGTTACAGCAGGGTGTTAACAGGAGGCATTTTCTTCCCCGACTTCAGAGAACGAGACAGTGATATGCAGAGCATCTCTGAACATGTCGCCAAACCATAGTGATAAGAACGACACGGAAAGCGACAACATGCATGATCGACGTCCGACAGTGGTCGAAGCTGCGCATTGCGTCAGCGTCATGCGGGTGTTTGCCGAGAAGAGGAGGCTGGCGGAAAAGCTGGCTCGCAGCATAAGTGAGATTGAGGCGGCATTGTCAAATGAAGATAACAGACTTTGTCACGCAAAGTTAATAAATTAATGCACAATTTTTGTTCTTTCATTGCACTTCCTGAAGGTTTCTTTTTTTTGACAGGTAAGTGGGCGACCTGACACTATTTCGATTAAGCAGTACTACCATTTAGTACATACTTTTTCCGAGCTCTGGTCAACTAACTACGATTTAACTAGGTTTCACTGTATTTGCAAACTCTATGTAACAAAGTAACAGCAAGAAATATCTTTGATATAACGAATTTTGTAGGCTTGTGCAAATAGTAAATTTTAGGTTTGAAGCGAATTGAAAGCGAATAGCAATTTTGATCGAATAATTTAGAATCAAATTCGAATGGTATGTATGACATATAATAAAAAAAAAGGAATATTTATCATGACCTCACTAACCTGCAGAATATTTCTTTTGATCTGAAATAGGGTCTCTATGCAAATGCCACTTTTTTTTTCGTTCAAAGGAAGTCGAAACAACCTTCAGTAGTAGTTTCGGTAGGATGCAAGTGATAACCTGCAAGATAATTAACGTTTTAGAATTTATTATACTTGGAGCCTATAAGCCATCATAACAAGCTTAATAAAATGAAGAATTGATTTTGAGAGTAACATGTTCCTTTAAAGGGGCCCTGCAACACTATCAAGTAGCCATAGAGCCAGTAAACATGCTTATTGCCTCACAAATTTCCCGCCGCAAAGTTTCTGGAATTAGTCCAGTACGAGCGGAGTTAAAAAATTTGTCGCACGCTGCAATTACATTCTATTTTCTCGTCTTGACGAAATAGCCGAACGTTAAGCAGAGAGGAATGTCAAGGCGAAAGAAAAATATGTCACACGCATCTCGTGACCTTGAGCACCCCCCCCCCCCCTTTTTTCTTTTGAATACGCTGCTTTTCAGTGTGATCGCGCACGTGCTCGTGGACAAGCGGCGGCCTCTCGTGGTGGCTTCGGTAACGACGAGCGCATCATGCTCAAATCAGCCAATGGCTGTGACAAGTTTTTTGAGCTTGTAGTGTCATTTGCCGAGGGAAGAAAGCAGTTTTTAGCTTTGGAAATTCGTTGTGAATTACAGGCCGCGTGCTGCGCTATAATATTTGCCTCGCCTATTCTCTGTAGCCTCGACTACCAATCGGCAGCATTTTCTGACCATGTTCAATAAGTGTTGCAGAGCCCCTTTAAATTTAAAAATGAGCTTCACGGCAAAGCAAATTTCCCCTGGAAATGTGCTTTCACGGCTTAGCACTTCTACATTGCAGTGAAACCACCTTCACAGGCAGTGACATGCGGACTATTACAGTTAACTACTAATAACGAACCTCTATATAACGAATTCTTCGATATAACAATATTTTTCTATTCCCCGCCGTTGCTCTATAGAAGCACGTGTATTTGCGATCTCTATGTAACAAAGTAACAGCAGGAGACAACCTTGACATAACGAATTTCTCCCATGAACAATCTAGGAATTTTGCTCCGCATTTGGTACCAGCATGCATCATTCGCGGCTGCCCCCCCCCCCCCCCCCCGACAAAGCGCGAAGCGGCGGCGGCGCGCACGGCACACCAGGCGAGAGTTAGCACACGGGTGAGCGCGAGGCAGGCCCGCCTGCCAAATGAACAGAGCATAGAAAAAAATGAGAAGAAAGAATTTAAAAGGAACAAAGTTAGCCTAGTACAGCAAAGCTAATTTGTAGTAACAGCAAAGCTATGATATGGCCCCATCTAGCCACCGTAGCTGTATTAAACAATGGCACGATAGTTGCAAACACAAGACGTTTTGCCTAGCTTCGATCTTAAAAAGAATGCGTCGAAAGCGCGTGACGTGACGACAGATTGTCTAGGCGTCAGAAAAACCTCGACTCCGGCCGCTTGCCACGTGCTCTGCGCCAAATGGCCACTTGCATCCGCATCAAAAAATTCACCCCCCTCGTTTTTTTTTTCACGCTCGTTCAAGACGGGTAGTTTCCTTTCTGTTTGAGCATACGACGGCACTTATAGCACACGGGGAGATCGTATGCACCCTCCAGGAAATAGAGATGGGCCGACTCATTTGATCTGTAGTAACAGCACTCGCGCTTTCACCCACTCGCAAAAGTTACGGTGCGCGGGGACATGTCATCAATTTGGACTTGTTACAAAACATGGTAGCGATGGCAAAAACGCGCCTATAGTGTTCATATAACTGCTACCGCAATATAACGAAGTTTTTTATCGCTAAGTAAGTGTGTTGGGTTAGCTCTGCCTTCAGTTCCCCTTTTGTTTAATTTGCGTATTTCTAGAATTTTCGTACCAAACCTGCATATCGCAAAATCCTCTTTAGATCAATTTTTTTGGGGAATTCATCAATTTTGTTATATCCAGGTTTAACTGTATTTTTAATAGATTACATGTGTGCAATATTTGCTTCAAACCTAAAGTTTACTATTCGCACAAACTTACTCATGAGAGGTGCCAGACACCACAGGATAAAATTAACACATTTTCGTTCTCTTTAATAGTAAGACACAGTTTGGCATGTACCTTTTGCTGTGGCTGACCAAACACAGAGGTTCCAGTGGTCCCGAATGCAGTGCTGGTTCCAAAAGCAGAGGTGGAGGCTGGTGTTGTCATACCAAAGCCAGTTGGCTTACCAAACACATTTTGACTCTGCGTTGTTGCCTGCCCAAATAGTGAGCCACCAGTAGGTGCAAAACTACCTGAAAAAGAAGAAACACCAGCTACTATACAGACTACTGTTGATTAACCATAATATGAGCACATTCAGGGTAGAATATGTCACAGCTATTACAGACATCAATATGCAAAGTCAGTCAAATCAGCAATTTCCTTTACTAGATCTAAACTTCATTAAATATAAAGTTCACCTTACATGCAAAGTATATTCACTACAGAATTCACGTGCACACTGAGAATGCCGCAAAAATTTTGAATTATAGTACAGCAGCATTAAAAAAAACCACCTTAGTCTAAGCTCATTACAGTCAAACATGGATATGTCGAAGCTGCATATACTGAGTGTTCAGCTTTATTAAGCTTGTAAATCATTCCCTTGAAAACCCTTTAAAAAGGTATAGAAATTCACACGTTAATATCAAACAGTATTTTTGCCTGCCATCAGATATACCAAACACCGTGAACGCTGAAAGGTGCATTTTGACACTCATTGCACCCTGTGACCTTCCCAGCACCATGCCTCTGCACACACCCGAAACGCTTGAAGAACATGAGGGCGAGAGGGCTCAAACTGAGAACGTATGGGTATGAGTAGGCACCCCACCACCGCCTGTCCTTTCCTCAATGACGAGTGTGCGGGAGGATAAATTTTCTTGTTTAGCCTGTAATACTGCGTAATATCTTTGTAAGTGGTCATCCGCTCAAATGGCTCATCTTCCTCCCAGATCAACCAGGGCAAACCAGAGTCTACGGGTCCTCGAGCTGTCTGGTGTGAAGCCTATATAAAAAACTTTTTTTGGAGCTTGTGATGCAGCAATTGGTACTGGATGCCAAATCGATGAAGTGCTTGTCACAACACCCGTATGGCATGCTTAAAGCCAGCGAAGCAGTGAAACTTTGCTATGTAAGAATTGCAGATAAACACACTACCTTCTACTGAACTGACAGTGGTGGGAATGCCTTCCAGCATTTTGGAGCAGCCATTGAAGCAGGCAAAATCTACCTTTGAAGCCGCTACCTCTGTGTTCGGAGCACACACGGGCTTTCACGATACCCAGAGAGGAAAAAATTTAGCTTTAATTTAGTTTATTGTTCTCTCAATTAACATATAATCATGCATTTATACAGAAGCAGCAAGCCCACAAAATAAGCACCAAAAAAATTACACACTCACTCACATAAAACGTGTGCACCGGAGGCAGAGGGCGAGTGAAAGGGGGATGCACAGCCAGCCCCATACATTGATATGATAGGAAGTTGGCGCTGCGACGATCCTTTGCCCCCGCTGAAGAGAAACCTTGCGCACGCCTTATGTACTCCCCCACCCCACACTCGTTCAAAGCTTGTTACAGTAAAACCTATTAATACGTACATACGTGCCCGAACGCCGCTAACTGCGCAATAAATGTAATATGCATTATTCACCAAGTACCAATTCTTTACATGCACCATCGCCGCTGAAAAAGGAATAAATACAGTGCTACAGCAAATATTGCCTAAAGTGCCCACCACAAAGCCATTTCTCTTTGCCAATTTTCAGAAATTATTGGCACTCTCACACTATGTCGCACGGCCGTCCCACGGTGCGCAGTGGCGACGCCAAGGAGCATTTCGAAACTACTGCTACGTTCTTCAGGTTCGCAACTTCACTACTTTGTTTGATCAACTGCAATTACCGAGCTGCTAAAATGTCCAAAGACATTCCTTTGAAGAAAACTACACCTCGCATATTCGACAAGAAACATTGGCGACCATGAAATGCACGACGAAATTCGGCAAGGCATGTCCCGCAGCATCCGCTCGACGGATTGAACACGCAACTGCACCCTAGCGCATCCAGCATTGACGCCTCATATGCCAGCAAAGAACTTATCATAATTGCAGCATTGCCTGTTGATGCATCAAATGCAGCGCCGCAGCCCACTAGATCAAATGCGTGCACCTCGTCAAGCCATGCTTTGAGTGCTGCCGCGAAATACGTCGGGGATCGTCAAGTTGGTGGTTTGTGTACGAAAACGCTACTTGGCACATGTAGTGTATACAATCGAACCCCTTTATAGAAGACACTGATATAAGAGACAAATCGGTATAAAAGACACCAGAGTGCCCATACGAAAGTATGGGTTGATAAGAAAATGAATACGAGGTACCCTGCTTATAAGAGACATCTCATGTACAGTATACACTAAGTAAAAAGAACCTGAAGGGACTGGGAAAATATGTTCTATTTAACAGGAGTTCCGTTCCCTGAGAGGTGAAGATGAGTGCAGAATACAAGCCAGAAACCAAGCATTGCAGAGGCAATAGTTCCGTTTAAGCAGTAGTTCCGTTTAACAGATTTCCATTTACTGAGAGTCTACTGTAAAAGACAAAAATTGCCGTCAGGAGCATGCCTCTTCTAAAGGGGTTTAATTGTATTCTGTCGGCCCAAGCCTCGAGTGTTATCACGGACACCGTCGGTACCGTTTTCCTATCAGCTGAATAAAATAGCCAGTGCGCAGCAAGTGCGTCCAACGTGAAAAAGACCTTGGCGGAAAGTCGGCAACAGACTAAAATTTGAGCTTCTCGGCGTTGACACGGAACAGGAGAACCCCAGCGACAGTGGAAAGGAATTCTTGATCGTACATTTGAGCATGTTTATTTATTTTCTCGCACTTATGATTTGCGGTGACAGTGTCTCAAAGAAAAGAGTACGGACTTCAGTGTGAAACTCGTGATAGCATGCTCAACGTGCGGCATGCGTGATGAGCGATTCCCTTCACTGTGGGCGACTGGAGATTCATCAATAACGTCATTTATAAATGCAACAAAGATTACCCAGCCAAGAATGTTAACAAGCTCGTGAATAGGCACAACCCAACAGTGGACACTGCTTACAGTCCTGGTCAGCTGTTAAGTGTAGATACAAGCCCATGTCATTGTGAGAATTCAAATACAGTCGCCAACCGATTTTTTGAACATGGCGGGGACCAAGAAAAGCCAGAAAAATTGAACAGTCCGAGAAATTCGTTTTTGTCAGAAATATGAACTTTATTGCATCAGGCAGGCTTCAAAAAGTCCATGATTCTGCCTTGCTTCATATTACACTTGGGAGCAATTTGGTTCACCCGTATTTGCGCCAAGGTGACATCGTCACCGTAAATGCTCCACAAAAGCGTCACAGCAGTGGCGATCTCCGCAGCCGACAGCTGCGGGCGATCATTATCGCCATCATTTGAACCGCTCTTCGGCTACGGCACAACCTGGCGAAGAAATTCTTCGTCTGTGGGCTCCGCGCACGAAATTGTCATCGTTCGCACGAGCGCAGTCTTTCAATAGGGAGTTTTCGCCCCGACATTTGCCCTGACCGCAAACTCAAATGCACGGAAGCTACACACAACACTTCGCGGACCTCGCGGGCCGCGATTGCCGCACTCTATTTCGGATTTTCTGCGGGTGGGCCGCAAACGACGGCGCGCATGCGCAGTGGCAGCGACCGCACCGCAAGGGCTCGCGGTGCGCTATTCTAAAACTCCCTAATGTTGTTGTGGCAGGCACAATCACTCCACTACTGCGCAGCTCCGCCTCCTCCCTGTACGATGCGATGACGGCAGTGCTGACCATTACGGCTGACCGAAGACGAGAAAATGGTCCTGTGCCGCGTTTTCTAAAGCAGACACAGCCTCCGAAACTTGAAATATGACGTTTGCTTTCCAATCTTGGAGGCAGGAAAGCCATTTTAAAATTAAGCCACTTGTCAAGCCGGCAGAAAATCCAACATGGCGGCGTCCACACAGGTTCGTGGCGCAGCTCAAGACAAGCGATTTAGTCTGAAAAATCCAACTTTAGGGGGTGAATTCGTCCGAAAAATCGGTTGAAAAAAATGCATTAGCCCTATGGGAACCCTAATGGTGCACTTTTGAAGTTCGAAATATCCAACAAATCCGAATTTTTAGAGTCTGAAAAATCGGTCGGCGACTGTAATGTTATTTTTTCCCCTTTTTTATTCTTGTGACCCCAACCTTGAGCAAATAGCAACAGCATAGGCCACATAGACGTGTAATTTTTATGCACAGTGTACACATACAAGCTGAAATACAACGGTGAAGTGTTAAGTACCAGCTTTCTCACACTATTTTCAAAGACTATGCATGCTAATGGCAAAGTTTTCATGGTTCCTGTGACATTGTTATAACATATATGGCATTGTCTTGTTCCTGAAAGGCAAAACTACATAATGATGCTATTTATACAGTCTTGTTGCAATACCACATCAATTTATGGGAAACTAAATGTTCAAATTATTTTTCGCAGTTTCATGTTTAGAGATATAACACGTAGCCTTATGGGCATTTTGACATGTTTTTATTGACTCCCAATAACAAGTTTGATACCTATGTGTTTGTATTGAATAGATGTGGCTGATGATGCTTTTCATTTCCTTCTATATTTTATTCACCAAATTGTAATTCACAACAATTGTAAACAATATGTGGCACACATTTCTCATTTATGTTTCTATCCATTTATTTCACATTTGAAGTTTAGTGCAAAGAATGAAATTAGCATCATTAGTTAGATCAGCTCTCTGGCAATCTGAATGTATACTTTGTTTTTGTGTTTGGCATAGTGAAATTGCATACTTCTGTACTATTGCAGCTACCAAAAATCTACTCATAGATTTGGGAACCTGTGGAAGACATTGAATAAGAGTATCAAGTTTCATTCAATTCAGACAAATTGTAAAAAAAAATTTTTTCAAGACCTCAACTCCCTTTAAAGCGACTTTACGCTGCACATCTAGGTTTTTGATCGGCGATGTCATACTGGCACGCTTTTCGATGGTCGCCACGTCACCTTCGGTCTTTGCCAATGGTTACCAGAAAAGGCACTATCGCAATCGCGCGGAAGTTAGTGTAATTGTTCGACCGATTCCAAGCTGTTGTAGGAGCACAAGTGTCTCGACCATCTCGTCATTTCGCTCACGATTACTTTCGGTTCTACAAATACCTAGTGGCGCAGCAATGATGCAAATTAGACAAGAGATCCTTTTGGAGCAGCATGGCACAGTAATTTCCAGTTGGCGCATGTTGCCGCAACTGGCGCAGGTTTCCAACCGCTGAACTGAGGATGTACATGATGTACTACAGCTCTAAGGTTGAAAAAAACTGATATATTTTGTTAAATCAGGAAGCTTATCACATATCAAGGTTTAACTGTACTCTGTTTCGATAGGGAAGATGTCACATTCTACAGCAAAACCAACAATTATATTAAGAGTCTCAAGATGGCACGCTACCATTTTCTTGAGTGACCAGCAGCAGCTAAAGAATATCGATTTCGCAAATGGAGTGACGACACATCTGGGCACTTTCACATTCTTTTCAAATTACATTTGCTCAATCATTAACTTCTTGCTACCTTATCAAAGGCACATAAGCAGATCTAAAGTGCACATTTATAACAAAAATTGTCCACAAGAAGTGTTTTCACAAAAGGTGCTTTCAAGCATTGGCATTCAGCACGGAATGCAAGGTAGCTCACAGAGGACCCACCAGTAGTGGAAGTGCCGAAGAGCGGCTTGTTTTGGGTGGCACCAAAATTGAACGTTGACTGCTGAGTGGCAGGAGTGCTGAAGATGGAGCTCGATTGAGTGGTTGCCCCGAAACCTACCATGCCCGCCTGGCCACCACCTTTTCTGTTGGCAGCATAATCCTCCAGGCGCAGCTCCTGTGGTGTGTGAGCACCGAAAAAGACAAATATGGTCAGTCTTAGCAACTTGTCACGTTTATCTTTACATGACAATGTCTCCATTTTGACAAAGCTCTAATATGTTTGAATAATTTATGTCTCCTCACGCTACTGTGGGCACAACACATGCAAGAAGAAGCTCATCATGCACTGATTTCCTTCTTTTTTTTTACAATAAATGTGATATTCTTCGATGAGCATATACATTGTGATACTACCCTACAGCAATTCAGCAGTGCACAGCAAAAAAAACACTGCCAAGAAAAACATCCCTAAATTCAAAAGTAAAAAGCGATTGGCTAAACCTGTACACACATGATAAGGCAATAAACTTTGGGCTAGCAGAATGTTTCTTTAAAGGGGGACGCGAGTCTTATAACGGTAAAAAATGGTCGAAAAATCTATTTTCTGCAAAGGTTATTTTCGGGGTGTTTGTACTTCTGAGCACCTACTCTCAAATTGCTAACGCTGAACTTGGTTGGGAAACGCGATAAAATCGGCCTTCAATGGACCCCGGTCGCACTAAGATGCCCCCAAAAGAACGAAATTTGTTCAAACTTCCCGTGCGCGTCATGTGCATTGCGGCGGACCGAGCGCCGCCATCTTAGGCTTGATTTGAAACTATTTTTTTTTGTGTAATCAACTACTCACCCTAGACAGCTAAATAGACAGCTAAATGGACGCCAGCTATCTTTATGTCCCACTACAATTCTCCGGTAGCCAGCAAAATAGACAGCTCCAAGAAGACCGCATCGCAAGCAAATACGATACAGGCTACTTTGCTGTCCAAAAAAGATGGCAGCTCAGCGAATCGCTCAGATAAATCAAATCTCACCGAATGGTCATCTGCACACAAGCAGACACTTCTCCAGACGCTCAGTGTGTTTACTTTATTTTACCTCGAAACTGAAAATGCTGGAATCCAGCGCACGCCAACTTGTTGCCAGCCGTAGCTAACGCCGCATGGTGCTCTGCAGCCTGTCCTCCGACAGTGAGCTGCGCTGTTGACCTATGGTCTGTTGCCGGCATGTTCGCAGACTTGCGAAAGGCTGTTATGCAACAGACCCTTCGGAACTGTTTTTGCTACGGGAACTTTATACTGGATGCTGAGACGGCCGTCTCCCCTGGAGTGGACATTGTGTGCGACAAACTTCCACTACCGGACATTGCCTTTGACAATCTGCACGCTGCCAGCGTTTCGATTACAGCCGGGATATCCCTTGAGGGCTTCGCCGACGCTGGCTAAGACCTCAAGCTGTGTGCAGAATTGTCAATGACGAAATCATTCGTCAAGTTACGGAAAATTCTGATGACTCTGACACTGAGATCGAAGAGGCAGCGCCTACAAATAACGAGTTCAGAACTGATGCGAGCACTGACACGTCATTGGTGTAAACTAAAATTGAGGCAGACATCGTCGCAGGAAAGTGGAATGCTGTGCAAACAACAATAAGGATTTTTTTTTTGTGCCCAAGTGTTTACAAGTGCGGTAGCGGCGGCAACAATGAATTTTTTTTTCTATTTTTTTCTGCTCTCTTTAGAGCTACCTAAACGATGCATTTGCTGAATTGCAATGGAAACCTGTACTCTTGCCACGGCCCCGGCAGTCAACAAAAAGCCTATTAAAAAGTGTGTTTTCACTTGCATTCGTTTTTCCAGACTACCCGATTTTACGGACATTTTCGCGGTCGCTTGAGGGTCCGGGAAATAGGATGTCAACTGTATACCAATTTATCGATAGGGGAATCGGCCACGTTTTTATGCAAAAATCAACAACACTTAGCAACATGGAAGGAAACTGAAGTTTTTAATCCATTCCACCTGCTGGTTTAACTTACCAGAAAATAAAAAAACACTCACGTAAGTGCTTTTTGCAGCACCTCTCTGCTATTACGCATTTTTCTCATTCCCATTCAAAGTTAACATAATGCTTTGATAAGACTGCTTTTCTACCAGGGCCAATACAATAATGCCTTGTTATTTTGAAGCAGTAAAAACAAGAAAAGATTTAGGCAAACAAGGTTGCCCAGATTGCAGTGAAAGGTCATGTTATTTATCTAAAAAATTCACCACTACTGAACAGCTTTTTAACAAAAGCTTCTAAACTGGCTCTTCGTGAAAGTTCTTGAAGAAAATACAAAAGACATTCCACAACTATCAAGCAGATGCATCTTGTGGTCCTGCCACTTTATTCGGTGCAGAAAGACTGAGCAAAGCTAGTCTGCTTCGCAGTGACAGTAAGACCTAGGAAGGCAAGGTCGAGCTACCAGATACATTGCTCATGCCAATCATCCCTGATGCTGCACTCAACTTGACTTCCCAGCAATGGAAGCATGATTCGCTTCTCACCAGATGTCAATGCTTATTTTCAACGCTGCAGCTTTCACCAAGTGCAGGCTCTGACACAAAACTGTCTTGCTTGATAATGGACTAGCTAATGTAAACCATTATCAAGTCCAGAGCATCTCCGTGTTGTGTTGGACAAGCTTCCCATGATGGCATGCCAAGTTGCGGCCGGCATGCTAGGCGTAACGAGCTGTGTCGTGTACTTTCTTGTCTCTCATGTCTTTTTTTTTTTTTTTTTTTTTTTGCTGACTGTCATGACTGTCTGCTGGTAGTGAATGCAGACAATAAAAACAGCAGTTTGCTGCTGAGTCGACAAGATGTTTGAAACTGTTTTTAAGGACACCAAGGTTGCCACAGACAAATAAATGGAGCAGGATTCGGGGCAGCAGTATGTTACTTTTTTACAAAATCCAAAATTTGCAGCAGCATAGAAAGATAGCTCATATTTGAAAAAAACAACAAATATGCACAAACCGCTCAGCATAACCTAAATTGTGCACAATGAACATGAGCACTGCTATTTCAACAAAAGTGGTATTTTGAACCACCCCACAGTGCAAACAATCATGAAGTCCACAATAGCATTTGCAGCACTTGTCAAATCCTTTGACAGACTCGCCAAATTCAAATATGGATGTGCCAAGCAGGCAACCTCAAAATTCGCGTGATTTGTACAACAACGAGTAGGAATGAAGAAACAAAAAAAAAACTAGAGCATTGTTTAGTTCACTGTTTCCTAGGGCTGCAAAAATGTCATACACTGCTCGAAATGATTGACAGTAACCTTAGAGATCTCCACCATCATACTAGTACTCGGAATTATATGGCGTATACACGCATGGGTAATTAACAGCATGTGCTGTATCTCATGACTATACTGTGCAACAACTTATCGTGACATTGGAGCAAAGGCTACGAAGGTGGAGGCTGCCCCACTTTCGTGTTGTTCTGCAAGTATTACGGCAGCTTGCGGCTGGTTTCGGTTTTGCTCGCTCCCATTGTTACCGCATTAGGAAAAACATATACATGAAAATTATGAATGGGAGAAACATTTAGATTGTTCAGTGTACATTTTAGTGTTCTATTAAAAATACATTGTTCTTGAAGAAGTAAACCAAGCGTGGGTGGCTGCAGACTGACATCATGAACACCATGCTCCTTTAGAAAACGGGTGGGCTCGAGAAGTGGTGCTGTCTAAAAAATGGAACAAAACTGAATGCATTCTTGCAAAGTGTACAATAACTGTAATCAATGCCTCCTAGAAAAAGTATGCCTGAAACGTCACTCTCTTTTCAATTGAGAGCTTCCTGCCAGCACGCAATCTCTGAGGCCATGCCTCCTGCCGCGTGTTGTGACCGTCCACCGCATGCGAACGCTCGCCTCTGTACTGCTCAGTCACGTGACATTACCGTACCACTCTGACGTGACATCACAGCTGCTCGGAGGCAACTGTGACTCTGTGAGAGCATTGCTGTGTTAGCATGGGGCGGCCTCCAGAGGCGTTTGCCTTCGTACTGAAGAGGGAGGGTAAAATCGGAGGGTAGGGCAGCACGTTCACAGGGCACATTTCAGGCATAATTTTTTAGGCGGCATTGCTGTAATTTAATTACAACTTCCCACAAGTGTTGCCGTCTCATAATAAATAAATTAGTATTTATTTCAGCAAGGCAAATGAGAAAGTGAACAGTAATCTAAGTACTATTTTTTAGACGCGGTAGCAGGCATGCGCTTGGTTCTATAGCTTCCTCAGTGCTGTCAAGGAGAGTTGTCGCCGAGTACAGTACTAACAGCCCCTTCTAAATCTTAATACGTTTTTCCTGAAGACACCGGTGTACTACGACGAAGGTGGCTTAGACAGCATTCAGCATGGGATAGAACAAGGCCAAGAAATTTTGTAACTGCTACTCCCCCATCACCCTTTTTTTTCTCGCAGTGGCAATGGGTTTAGGGCACAACTTCTCGGCTGGCTGCGTTTAGACAGATAAAGTAACAACGGCACATGTCTCTTGGGCCAGCGACATCATTGAATATCTATCGCTAGAGCGATGCAACTTCAAGAGCGAAAAATCTTTTATGTGCCGTTGCTACGGCAACCAATGTGGTCGTTGGCAACACTGGCAACTGTTGCCCATTGAGTTAGTTCTACCATGAAGAGCATGGAATCTGCATCCCCCTTTGGTTATTAACATGCCATAGCCACGTTTGCAAACTAGAAAATTTATTTTTTTTCGCAAAGTTTTTATGGCTACGGCTGCGCATTTTTGTCTCGAAGTTGCGCTGTCCCGCCGAAAGGGATCCTCTGTGGTCAGCGTATGGCGCTGTAGCCTATTCAAATGCTTCGAATATTTTAATGAATAAAGCAGTATTCAAATTCTCTTTGTATTGAATTTACATTATTGAAAATTTTGAATTATCCGATGCAAATAAACGAACGCATACTAGTCTGCACATAACAGCCTGTAAAAGTGGTTTCGCTTTTACAGGCTGTTATGCTTCTTACAGGCTTCTTACTGGACGCCGAGACATCATCTCGGCGTCCAGTAAGAAGCTTGCGTGGGGATAACAGTTTCATGGGGTCTTTTGCGTAACCGCCTTCTACTAGTCTGCAAGCATGCCGACAGCAGACCATAGATCAACAGCGTAGCTTTTCCCGCTGTCAGAGAGGAGCACAGGCTGCGCGGCACCATGTGGCTGTGGCATGGATGTGGCCACAGGCTTGACTAAGCTACAGCTAGCAACGAATTGGTGTGCGCTGGATGGCGGCATTTACAGTTTTGAGGGTACGGCAGCCACAGCGCGGTGGGTTCGAGGGTACGAAAACAATAAAAAATGGCGTCGTTGATAGTGATTTCGAGCCTGCGATTAGCAGTAAAATTCCAGAAAATCGAATGGCAAAAGCTATAAACGTCCGGAATATTGGACTTTTTAATACACTGACTCTATGAGGAACTTGACGGGTCACAGATGAGTACGGAAAATCAGGCATGTCTGGAATTTCGCACATTGACGGTATATGGGTCCAAGCATATTTCTTAGCATTTTGCCCATCGTATTACAAAAAGAACAGTATCGCGCACAGTTCTGAAACATTTCGTGCCGTGCTGTAGTCACAGCCAAGATCTGCTCTGGGGGCCTTCTTGTCGTTAAAAGAAGCTCTGCAGCCGGCGCCAGCACAACGTGCCCCAGCAAAGTGTGGACCTTGCACCTAACCAGAGTAGATATAAGATTGTACACAAAGTCAGCAGCTACGCACTTGTGGCGGAGAAGGACAACTTGAGGCCGTAAACAAAAGAAACCCATAAACAGATATGGATGTCTCACGCTGACGCAAAACATCATCTCCATAAAATTTGAAGCTGTGTTGCTGTCATCCTCGAACTCTAAGCTTATCCTCACTCAATTTAGGTGGGGTTGCAAGACAGTTTCGAGCGGCGTGTGTTTTGCAGCACTGGTGCGCACCCATGCGCGAGACGACTATGCCACAGAAGCGACTAGTGACACTATATGTGACCCGGTGTCTGATATAACGATGCAAGTAAAACCAAACCTGCTGGAAACTAAAACACACATTGGTTTATGCAAAAGTCTATCAAAAATCACTATGTGGCCCGAATGGGTGAATTGAAATTGATTCTGAAAGTTGAGTGGCTGGACTAGGTACTAGAAGGTGTTTGGTGCACGAGCAACGAATTTAACATGCTAAAATGAACGATCCAAAGCATCGATCACTGGTGATCGATTTGAATAAGCGTAGTAATAAAAGAGATAAGCAGTGGAATTCATTAGATGCGAGTAAACAGCCCCTAGGGCAACCAATCTTTTTTTCCCGCTCCTTTGTTTTTGTGTTTTATTATATTTCAACACATTTTTTGCAGCACAAACGAAGGCAGTTCAGCAAGGCCTCTGCATGATTTCAAAAATAATGTCTTGTTTCGTATCTGGTAAGTAAAGCACATTTAAATTGTTTGTTTTTTTTATTCTTTCAAGATATGTAGGATCAAATAAGCAAACAAAAAGTTTGGCATTTTCGTATCAACTTTAGCAAGAAAACTGTGTAGGAAAAGGGTTAAATCGGGCAAGACGATTGTTTCCTATCATTACTTCCAAGGTTTCTCGATACTAGGCCATATGAGTTGGTGGTTGCAGAGACAATTACTAATGCATGCCTGAGAAACATGATTGACAATCCTACCTCTAAGCTCTTGTTCTCGTACTCCTTCATGCATGTGATGCACTGGTGAGATGTGCTGATGGTGCTGGAGACGCCATTCTTCATCATTGTGTCAGTGCCCGTTGGTGGCTTGAACTTTATTGTGGTGCCTGTGGTCACAGAGCCAGTGCCAAACGCTGAAACAAAAGAATGCGAAGTCTTCACATTTTCCTCCTTTCATGCAAAACAATTTCTACCTTTTGGCAATTCAAGGTTAATACTGGGAAAAACTAACCGTAGTGTAAATGAACTCACATAAGGGAACAGGGTAAGCCCTATGCCCACCATGTATTTTAGGCGAAGTTTATGTACCGTTTTCTCTATAACCAAACGAGCTACTGTAATTATTTTAGCAATCATTATGATAATGAGCCATTGCTCGTTCTTACTGAAGCAGATTTGTCACTGAAAATTTCAATGCTCAGTTTTTTTTTTAATTCCTTACTTCAGGAACCTAACATATATATACAAAACATTTATTGAAATGAAAAAGAAGTACTGGGATTGTGTGGGTTGGGCCAACATGTCAGGACTCCACTGGCCTGAGCGGCCCGCTACACCTGGTCAGGGAGCACTACTTGCACCACCAGTTCCTTGCTGGCGAGCAATATCTCCCACTGCTCCCTTCCAAAAATCTCGCCGGCGATTTGTGGCGAGGTAATTTCGGTTGGCCTGTTCTGACAATCCCACGTTATGTGGGCGAGAGTGGGCCTGCCTCCACGTCACGGACAGCTATCGCTGTACATCACGGAGTGAATTGCATGTTTGAACGAAAGATTCGGATATGTGTGTGTTTGTATACGGCAGCCAGTCATAAGAGTTCCGCCTGATTAGGAGCAGGGTGTGGTACACTGTACTTTCGTTGCTCAAGCCCTGCACTGTGCAGTGCCCTTGTGAAATTTCACAATAGTTTAGCTCATTCATACCGGCTATATCGCCATCATTAAAAGTGAACGCAGCATCAAGAGTGCACATTAACAGTGTTTGGTGCCCGAGGACAATGTTTTTTGTTTTTTTTAGTGCACTCCCACACAAATATGCAACGACTCGATATGATTCTGAGTTTTCCCACGAAGGCATTTAGCAAGTAATTCTGGATAAGCTAGTTTCAGATAATTTGGCTAGAAGGGGCCCTGCAACACTTTTTGAGCATGGTCAGAAAATGCTGCAGATTGGTAGTAGCGGCTCCCAACAACACGCGAGCCAAATAATACAGCGCAGCATGCGGCCTGTAATACACAATAAATTACCCGAGTCAGCTAAAAATTGCTTTCTCTTCTCTCAACAAATCACTGAAGACGTTCAAAAATCCTTCATAAAAAGCCCATCCATCAGCCATTGGCCGATTTGAACGCGGCGCGCTCGGTCATTAACAGAGATCGCCGGGGGAGGCAGCGACTTGTCGACGCTTGCAGGCGCAATCACACTGAAAAAGCCACGCATTCGAAGAAAAAAAAAAGTGCGCAAGGCCATGAGGCGCGCGTATCGTTTTCTTTGCCTTTGCCATCCCTCCCTGCTTAGCTTCCAGCGCTTTCATCGAACCTGTCACGATTTTGAATAGGCCAGAGGGATTCGGTCCACAGATTTGTTCTCTCTTGTGACCCCAAAACGTTTGAAGAGGATAATGAAGTAGCGGTCAAGGAGGAACAGAGTGAGAAAGTTTCGCGGAGCCATACGGTCCCCGTTCAATACGTAGAAGAGAAGAGACAAGAGAGGCTGCAATTGCAGCATGTGACAAATCTTTGTAACTCCACTTGCACTGGACGAACTCTTAAAATTTTTGCGGCGTTGAATTCGTAAGGCAGTAAGCTCTTCCAGTGAATTCATTTCATGGTTACTTGAAAAAGTATTTCACGGCCCCTGTAGCAGCCTCAATAACAGATGCTGGAGGTGTTCTTTATGAACGAATGGTTAACCCTTCAACTGGGCTTTGTTGAAGTTACACCTGGTTTGGGAGTCCTTCGAGCATAGGCCGTGGGATTTATAGATATCCTTTGATGCCACGTGGAAATATGCGGACCGGACAGTTTTCCGCATGTCCTCCACGCTGTCTGTACTTCTTTTATGGCCCAACGATAATAGTTTTGGTGCTTACCAATGATGGCACCACTAAAATGTCCCCGACCAGATACAGTCAAACATGAATATATCGAACTCGAAGGGGATCGCGAATTAGTTCGATATATGAAAAAATTCGATATAAATATTAGAGGCCCCGAGAGCCTACCTGTAGCGGAACCTACAATAGGCACATTCAAGAATGACAACTAATTCTGCACACACGGCCGCAACAGAATGATTTATTTGCATGAAAAAAAAAAATCGTTGATCTTGGCCAGCTTTTTCATTTTTGAAGTGAAGTTGAAGACGCTTGTCTCGATCTTATCAAGGCTGTCCAGGTGCATGTGGCCGATACAACGGCGAATAAAGCTGAACACTGCTGTCACTTCAGTGGCGAAGTACGCATGTGTAGCCAGCGCCTCCCCCCCGACAATCCTCCTCGTCACATAAGCCCGGGCCTCCGAGATGGTGGGCGAGCAGCAGGTTTCTCTCCAACTGTCCCAATCCAGAGGTGGGCGTGGCCTGCTCTTTTGGCTGCACCGCGACGCTGCTTCGTATGGCAGCAAAGGCTGCCGCACTGCTGGCGAAGCTTACATGTGGCGAGAAAAGAGGTGGTCTTGTGCTTTTATATAACTTCGCACTCATTTTTATATAGCTTCGCACTGAATGTCGGGCCAAGGTGTACGAGAGGCAAAGTCAATGCTTGGGCGTACATGTCGCCGACTGATTTTTCGGCCCTGGCGGGAACCAGAAGAAAGTCAGAAACATCAAACAGTCCGAAAAATTCATTTTTGTCAGAAATATGAACTTTATTGTATCAGGCAAGCTTCAAAAAGTCCATGATTCTGCCTTGCCTCATACTACACTTGGAAGCAATTTGGTTCGCCCATATTTGCGCCAAGGTGACATCGTCACCGTAAATGCTAGACAAAAGCGTCACCGCGGTGGCGATCTCCACTGCCCACAGCTTGGGCGATCATCATCGTCATCATCCGAACCGCTCTCCGGCTTCGGCACAACCTGGCGAAGAATTTCTTCGTGCTGTGGGCTCCGCGCACGAAATTGTCATTGTCCCCACAAGCGAAGTCTTTAAATAGAGAGCTTTAGAATAACATTTGCAGGCACTGCGGGTGCTGCAGGTATAGCGGATGCATTATGAGATTTAGAATAGCGTTTGCTCCCCCTAGGGTAAAGTTTAGGAATTTTAGCCCCGACAGCGAAATCAAATGCACGGAAGCTACAGACAACACTTTGCGGGCCTCGCGACCCGCGATCGCCGCACGCTACTCCAAATTTTCTGCAAGAGGGCCGCGAACGGCCACGACTTGCGTTACGACCGATGCGCAGTGGCAGCAACAGGCACCGCAACGGCTCACGGTTCGCTATTCTAAAACTCCCTAATGTCATTGTGGCAGGCACATTCACTTCACCACTGCACAGCTCCGCCTCCTCCCTGTGCAGTGCGATGACGACAGTGCTGACCACTACGGCGGACCAAAGACGAAAAAATGGTCCGTGTTGCATTTTATAACGCAGACACGGCCTCCGAAACTTGAATTATGACGTTTGCTTTCCAATCTTGGGGGCAGGAAAGCCATTTTAAAATTAAGCCACTAAGCTTAGTCAAGCCGGCAGAAAATCCAACATGGTGGCGTCCATACAGGTTCGTGGCGCCGCTCAAAAGAAGCGATTTAGTCCAAAAATCCAACTTTTGGGGGCGAATTTTCCAAAAAATCGGTCAAGAAAATGCAATAACCCTATGGGAACCCTGATGGTGCACTTTTGAAGTCCGAAATATCCAACAAGTCCGAATTTTTGGAGCCCGAAAAAAATCGCTCGGCGACTGTATATATTCTCAAATAGACTTTTTTGCTGTATATTCGCGCCACCTATATCAGAGCACTTAAATTACGATGCCTCTGCAAGAGATACGGATGTGCTGGAAACTTGCTGTACTTCGAAGTTTGCAGGCTGTATAGCATGGATGGCACGGGCAAAGAAAAAAAAAATGACAGCCCGATCAACAAGTGAAGTCAAACTAATGCAGCTCTCTATGCTCACTGGTTGCACTTGATTAAAAGAGTTGCTTTTTCTTCCTTTTCATGAAACTAGCACTGCTTTTTATTGTGATGCTGTTTCAAGAATCCTACTGTCGAGCTGCAGAAGCAGGATACAGCGAGGAGGGTGCAGGTGGTCGCCATGCGTCTAGACTATATGTGCTAGACTGAAAGTCGCTGGTTCTGCGACAACCACGGGCTGATCACAAGCACGTTTTGGTCACTTATGGTCGCCATCCGCACTGTGAACTTTACGGTATTCAGTAAACACGTTGGGCAATCTAAGAATGAACATCGAGATGTTTTGCTTGTTCAACAAGTACGCAACACACATATATAGTTTGATGTACCTGGTATGAAACACCACGATATCGCATAGCAGTGACATTTTCTCTATATTTAACTGCACTTCGGTTGACCACCTCATAAATATTCATACGTGACATAATAGTAAAGTTATGAGTCAGGATAGGAGAGCAATACGGTTCAGTGATGATAATTAGTCCAGTTTTCCCCCATACAAGTCTCCAGAAGAAAGGAGGAATACTAGAATGCCTCTATATTTCTCAAATCGAGGTATTTAGCACCGAGACAAAAGGGACTGTTATGAAAAAAAAAAAAACGTTATACTGTCAGAGACAAAATGATACATCCTTACAATTAGCTATCAGTAAAATGCAGCACTTGGCACGATTTTTTTCGTAAATTGGACCGAAATAAATGCATTGACACAAAAAAGTTTTCTTCAGTTCAGCAAGAAGATTTTGGGGGCAATTCTTGTTCGCAAGCGAAATAAAAAAAAACGCGTACGCAGGAATCCCGTTGTGCTCTGCTGTATGCCATGGTCTCAGCCGCCGCCGGAACCCTCACTCAATGCGCCCTCTCGCGACAGCCAGGCGCGTGAGGCTATACTCGTTAGTTTTGCTGGGGAGCGCAGCAACTGAGACGGCCAGATAGAAACACGCTGCGTGCGCGCCACCTCGGAGGCCATGCACAAGCTGTCGGCCTGGGCATCCTGGGTCCCTGCGACTGCAGCAACTATGTCTTCGTCAGCGAGGCTCGCAAGGGCCTAGACATTGCAGTCCACTTCCACGAAATTGTCCGCAGACACTTGAGTGCAAGCTCCTGCTGGGAAGTGAGACGACAACTCGCGAAACGCGCCATTTATGCGCTCGTCGTAACAGTCTTCACTGGTTTCTGCAAGTTCCTTCGTCTCGAAGCCTGCCTTGAGGAAGAAGTTGATCACTGTGTCCATCTTCACGCCTCCCCAGGCATTGAAGATCTCCGCGCGAAAAAACTTCGCTGAGTATTAGACAATGCCCAGAAATCAGTTTGTAGCGCCACTTTCAATTTAATGGCTCGACCAATCGAGGCAGAGAAGCTCACACCCAGGCAGAGTATATCTTCTCAGACTCGGAAACAGCCATTCGTAATTTTGCTATGCATTTAATTCATGCACCCGCCTACCGTATCCTACAGTTCCTCCCTCCCCCTCAATGAATAATCACCATTTTGTGGGTTCCCGCGCATTGTTTCGTCGCCTTTGTTTGTGTTTTACCTTATACGTTTGTCACTTGTTCCGGTAACATAGTTAGGCATCATGACGAATGTTTTCAAAGTAGGACCACTGCCTCCCAGAGTACGTTCTGGTGCTCCAAGCAGATGAGTTCCACTGTCAAATTAGAGTATAAATGCGAAAAGGGCCTTGGCGCTACTCAGTTCAGAACTCTCAAGCCAACTTCAGGCCATCTACCATGTCGCTGACTCTGCGTGGCCCATAGCAACCCAATTTAAGCAAATATGCTTTCCCGCCGCAAAAATAATAAAAATTTGTTCCAAGCTGATAAAGAAGAGTGACGAACTATCATCACCAGAAAACATTTACACTCACACATCGACACAATGAAATATCGGTTAAAACAAAGTAATTTAAATACTGTATTTATTATAATAAAGGTCGACCTTTTTTTTTTTTTTCAAAAATGTTCATCTATCGACCTATATTCGTGACCAAAGAATCTCGACCTATATTCATGATCAAACCAACCAAGAGCGCCGAGCTTATGGCATTAACTGCCATGTCCGCTGTTCTTCACGTGGTTCCTGCTGCATACGCAGCTATTTACCATATACTCTGAAATCAAGACCACACCCCCTTACCTACCTAAGTAAGTGAGAAAAAAGTTATTGATGCAATAGCCGCGTAATACCCTTTCAAATGCCCCCACGAAACACACCCGCTATGCCATGTTTGCGACGAAAACCACATTTTCCTAGATATAGGCCATGAAATCCCAGCCCGCCAGCCGTGCTTCCGATACGGCCTTTTAGTGTGCAGCCGCACTGGCCCGCCTCACCGCTTTAGGCGCTGCGCCAGCGTTCCCTATCGAGTTGCAGAAAATAAGTGCTTTCGTCTTCTAACTACCACCACCATTTGCTTGTGAGCGGTTGCGACGATGTCAGGTCGGTAGAGCTACACAGGAGGCAAGTGCCAAGTCATACCTTTTGCCGAGGATTCAAGCAATTTTACCGCGCAGCGCGAGTTCTGTGTAAATGAAAAGTTGATTAGGGGTTCGCCAAAGCAGCAGGACCGTCTGTTTGCGTGCAATGAATGGCGTCATGCTTTTTGCGGTTCAGCAAGCAGCAGCGACGGTAGTGAGTACGACGTTATTTGGGAAGGCACGGATACTTGCAAAAAATCTGATGACGACAACATTTTGCACATCTGACAAGATGATGGCTCCGGCAGCGATTAGGGCACTAAGTTATGTAAATAAAGGTGTGCTTCGTTTCAGTTTTTTTTTTCTAAATTAAAGAAAAAACATGGGCCAACCTATATTCAAATTTTTCTTATTTCTCGTAGAACACAATAAGTAGGGGTCGACATATATTCGTGCTCGACCTATTTTCGAGTAAATATGGTAATCTTTCCAAAGAAATAGGGGTAGAAATATACCTTTATAATGAATTTTTGGATGTAATGAACTTATTTTCGTTCAAGTACAACTTTGTTATAATGAGGTTTGAGTGTGTAGTCAAAGAGCACCTTCACATGCCATGCATTAGTCGCATGCTCTCCCACTCCACTGCTACGTAGGCTAGGGGAGAGCATTAAGATGAGCCCTTTCTTTGCAGCCGCACAATCTCAAAAATGCATTTACAACAGTTCAAGCTGGCATTAACACGACTTTCACTCCCCGAGTTTTTCAAGAGTCAAAAAAGAATGAGAAATTTATATGTTCCAGCTGTTAGACACCCTGAACTAAAATTTGTAGCAGCTGTGATATCACTGTTCTTTTACTGTGTAGGCAACCTGACTGGGCAGACAGAATGTAGAGCGCAGCCATGATCATCAGTTGTTCACCACCCATTCTCAACAATGCTTATCGTACAGGGCTCACAAAAGCACACATGCTAAACAAGGGCAAGGAATACTTGTAGGTACAATAACAAATGTACAGCTGACCTGTTGATCCAAAAAGAGAACTTCCAGCAGTTTGGCCAAACAGGCCTGTGCTTTGAGGTTGGCCAAAGAGGCTAGTGCCAGTGGCAGGCGTAGTGGTGGAGAAGGAGCTGCCAAACTGCGGTCGGGGCTGCCCGAATGAGGAGGAAGAGGCGCCAAAGATTCCCGTGCTCGCTGCCGGCTGCTGGTTCATCGTTCCAAACATGGACGAGCCAGTTGCAGGTGCTCCGAAACCTGCATTAGCATTTTTTCCAGCGATCAACACATGACAGCTGGACAAGCCCTATATTTACTCAAACGTGGCGCACCACTTTTCCCCAGATTTCTGCTGCCTAATATCCACCCTTGCATTACAATCAAGTACAGAAATACTGTTTCTTCACAATAAAAAGTAATTCCTCTCGTTACAGCCATGGTCATGTTACAATTAAGTAAATACAGCAGCAACGATGGAAAACATGACAAACCTTCAGAGAACATAAAAATATTAGCTTGATAAAAAAATATTACTTTCTAGAGCCTCTCACTAATTCCAGTGCACAATCACTATAGCACTCTGACATTACAGTGTCCGACATGTTCACAGCCTGCACATCTTCCACCTGAAATTTGTGGACCACAAAATTTTTGACAATCTTGATTACTGCCATGCCTGGGAATATAACTTCAAATTAAGAAAGTTCCACCTTGTAGCAGCCCTTACGACCTATGCAGCTGCCTGCTAGATTAAAAGTGTTGTGCACTAACACATCAGAAATTCATGCTCGTGAAGTGAAACCTATGCCCCACAAACTTTTGCTGCCAGGGGTAGAGTGCTTATGGATTCAAACAAGACACAGAAATGTCGATATAATGACAGTTATGCACAATCGCTTTAAGATCACTGCATCATGTCATTATTAAACTGATAGTTAAAGGTAAGGTGGTCTCTGATGTAAATTTTCGAGTCATAAATTTACAGCAAATTGACACAAAATGGTGGGAAAAAAATATGCGCATCGCTTTGCCATAAATTGTTGCATTTCAATCTAATAGCACTGTATCTCATAAACATGATGGCAATGACAGGTTGAAAAATTGCAGCAGAGGAAGGATACAAACAGCTACAAATTGCAGTCCAAAAAAAGGTCCCAGACTTTGCTCACATAACAGACACTATTTGACTAATAATGATAAAATCAGGATCTTTTGACAACCAAACTCAAAAGCATTAAAGAATTTCATAAGTCTTGAGAGCCACATGGTCATCTGTTCAACAAACTGGAAAAAGTGTGGCTTGGATAAGTTGGCCATTTTCATTTCACAAACGTGATGTAAAAAAAAAAATATACAGTGAAAGTTCACTTCAACAAACTTGAGGAACCTCCGGAATGAGTTTGTTAAAGGGAAAGTTGACATTAACTGAAACAGCCATGTTGCAGCTTGTTATTAAATTACAGTGAAACCTTGGCGAGATACTTGTGGCTCCTACAAATTTCAAGATGATATAAATTTTTCTGTGGTCTTGGCCACGACTCATTAGCTTGCAATGTAGTGGAATACGATTATTAAACAGATTTTCTCCTACAACGTTTGATGCAAATTCACACTAGCACACAGGTACGAATAGGAGCTGCCCATGCCGTCACGGAAGACACGGCAATCATGCATGGACGACCAACAGTGGCGCATTGTTGCCTCAGAGACTGTGTACGCTTATCTTCAAGGCCTTAACGCACCACAACACTTAGGTTACAGATGATCTTGTGTTGTACTTTGTTTTTAAGACGATAATTTTTCTTGGGATACTTGAACACAAAAATTTTAGTCTGTCTTTCTGTCTGTCTGTCACACGATTCAGTCACGCGGTTGAAGTTTAAGCGCCCAGCCATCTTGAACGGGTGGCAGCATCATACTTGTGTACACTGTCGATCAAAAAGCAAATATTAACCATATCTTAGGCACAACATCAATACCCAAGTTTTAGGTGGTGTGTTTCTTTACTAGAACACACACAGGTACAATAATTAAGTGATGCCACCGAGGTCTTCCAATTTGGAGCAATATTTTTTGAGCAACAAAATTTTTCTGTTTTGGAGCCCTTGGAGGCAGCAAAACTTCCATTTTGTAGCAATCTGAAGCTGTGAAATTTTCCATTTTGTAGCCATCTGGAGCAGCGAAAGCAATCTGGAGCAGCTAACTTCCGGACGAGAAGCAAGTTGCATTTCCATTCAAGGACATGAAAAATTATTCTGAGGCTCTTGTCAAGAGCTAGAAATACTTAAATTATTTGCAAATTTAATGAGCTAATCATCTTAGAAGCGCTCCTTATTTCAGTTGATAATGCAAGAATAATGGCATCATGCTGTTGAGCATTCTGGAAAAACTTGTTCAGTGATTCTTTCCATAGCAAATAAACAGAATACTGGTTGAATAAAATCGTACTTCCCAAAATAACACTATAAATACATCTATGTGGCTATCAGCAGATATGGTAAACAAACGCTGTGACGTAGAATGCTAGAGACTCACACAGTCTCAAGTGCATTTCCCTAAGGTGACTTCAAGAATAAAAAGAGGGGTTCTTTTTCTTCACAATTGATTAGACTGCTGGGCGTAATATGGTGCCATTCAGCTAGTCTCAGAAAGCCAACCTCTTCCGGCATTCATATCTGTGCTGAAGAACAAAAAAAAAGGTTCTTTTTCTTAACAACTGATTAGACTGCTGGGCGTAATATGCTGAGCTTAATATGGTGTCATTCAGCTAGTCTCAGAAAGCCAAGCTTCTCCGGCATTCATATCTGTGCTGAAGAATAAAAAAAAAGGTTCTTTTTCTTAACAACAGATTACACTGCTGGGCATAATATGGCGTCATTCAGCTAGTCTCAGAAAGCCAAGCTCCTCCAGCATTCATATCTGTGCTGAAGAACAAAAAAGGTTCTTTTTCTTAACATCTGATTACACTGCTGGGCGTAATATGCTGGGCGTAATATGGCGTCATTCAGCTAGTCTCAGAAAGCCAAGCTCCTCCGGCATTCATATCTGTGCTGAAGAATAAAAAAAAGGTTCTTTTTCTTAACAACAGATTACACTGCTGGGCGTAATATGGTGTCATTCAGCTAGTCTCAGAAAGCCAAGCTCCTCCAGCATTCATATCTGTGCTGAAGAACAAAAAAAGGTTCTTTTTCTTAACAACTGATTACACTGTTGGGCGTAATATGCTGGGCGTAATAATGTGTCATTCAGCTAGTCTCACAAAGCCAAGCTCCTCCAGCATTCATATCTGTGCTGAACAAAAAAAGGTTCTTTTCTTAACAAATGATTACACTGCTGGATGTAATATGGTGTCATTCAGCTAGTCTCAGAAAGCCAAGCTCCTCCAGCATTCATATCTGTGCTGTCGAACAAAAAAAAGGTTCTTTTTCTTAACAACTGATTACACTGTTGAGCGTAATATGCTGGGCGCAATATGGTGTCATTCAGCTAGTCTCAGAAAGCCAACCTCTTTCGGCATTCATATCTGTGCTGAAGAACAAAAAAAAAGGTTCTTTTTCTTAAATTACAGTGAAACCTTGGCGAGATAATTGTGGCTCCTACAAATTTCAAGGTGATATAAATTTTTCTGTGGTCTTGGCCACGACTCATTAGCTTGCAATGTAGTGGAATACGATTATTAAACAGATTTTCTCCTACAACATTTGATGCAAATTCACACTAGCATACAGGTACGAACAGGAGCTGCCCATGCCGTCACGGAGGACACGGCAATCATGCATGGACGACCAACAGTGGCGCATTGTTGCCTCAGAGACTGTGTACGCTTATCTTCACGGCCTTAACGCACCACAACACTTAAGTTACAGATGATCTTGTGTTGTATTTTGTTTTTAAGACGATAATTTTTCTTGGGATACTTGAACACAAAAATTTTAGTCTGTCTTTCTGTCTGTCTGTCACACAATTCAGCCACGCGGCCGAAGTTTAAGCGCCCAGCCATCTTGAACTGGTGGCGGCATCATACTTGTGTACATTGTCGATCAAAAAGCAAATATTAACCATATCTTAGGCACAACATCAATACCCAAGTATTAGGTGGTGTGTTTCTTTACTAGAACACACACAGGTACATCATTAAGTGATGCCACCGAGGTCTTCCAATTTGGAGCAATTTTATGAAGTAACAAAATTTTCTGTTTTGGAGCCCTTGGAGCAGCAAAACTTTCCATTTTGTAGCAATCTGGAGCTGTGAAATTTTCCATTTTGTAGCCATCTGGAGCAGCGAAAGCAATCTGGAGCAGCTAACTTCCGGACAAGAAGCAAGCTGCATTTCCATTCAAGGACATGAAAAATTATTCTGAGGCTCTTGTCAAGAGCTAGAAATATTTAAATTATTTGCAAATTTAATGAAGCCAATCATCATAGAAGCACTCCTTATTTCAGTTGATAATGCAAGAATAATGGCATCATGCTATTGAGTATTCTGGAAAAACTTGTTCAGTGATTCTTTCCATAGAAAATAAACAGAATACTGGTTGAATAAAATCGTACTTCCCGAAATAACACTATAAATACATCTATATGGCTATCAGCAGATATGGTAAACAAATGCTGTGACGTAGAACGCTAGAGACTCACACAGTCTCAAGTGCATTTCCCTAAGGTGACTTCAAGAATAAAAAAAGGGTTCTTTTTCTTCACAATTGATTAGACTGCTGGGCGTAATATGGTGCCATTCAGCTAGTCTCAGAAAGCCAAGCTCCTCCGGCATTCATATCTGTGCTGAAGAACAAAAAAAGGTTCTTTTTCTTAACAACTGATTAGACTGCTGGGCGTAATATGCTGAGCTTAATATGGTGTCATTCAGCTAGTCTCAGAAAGCCAAGCTCCTCCGGCATTCATATCTGTGCTGAAGAATAAAAAAAGGTTCTTTTTCTTAACAACAGATTACACTGCTGGGCGTAATATGGTGTCATTCAGCTAGTCTCAGAAAGCCAAGCTCCTCCAGCATTCATATCTGTGCTGAAGAACAAAAAAAGGTTCTTTTTCTTAACAACTGATTACACTGTTGGGCGTAATATGCTGGGCGTAATATGGTGTCATTCAGCTAGTCTCACAAAGCCAAGCTCCTCCAGCATTCATATCTGTGCTGAAGAACAAAAAAGGTTCTTTTTCTTAACAACTGATTACACTGCTGGGCGTAATATGGTGTCATTCAGCTAGTCTCAAAAAGCCAAGCTCCTCCAGCATTCATATCT